TCATTTACCTTCAAGCATAAAAGAAAATTTTCATATAAAGCATCATCAATATATGCAACTAAATATGAGTCAAATCACATTAGATATTGTTTTAAAAATTTCTAGGGTCGTGCATGAAATTTTTATTAAATAAAAAATTTGTACCTTCTTGTATCCTCTTGTACCCACCTATACCCAAAACAAGCAAAGAGATTTTCAAAGAAAAACCACTAATAAATGTAACAAAATACGAGTCAAATGACATTAGACATTGTTTTAAACATTTATAGAGTTTTACATGAGGTTTTCATTAAAAAACATTTGTACCCACAAGAATGGAAAGAAATTTCAAAGGGAAAACACAAATAGAAGTAACAAACATGAGCTAAATGACATTAGATTTTTATTTTAAACAATTCTAAAATACTAATTGAGGTTTTAATTGAATAAAACATTTATAACATATTATACCCTCAAGCATGCCAGTGATATTTCAATAGAAGACAACCGATTTATTCAACAAAACACGAGTGAAATGACAGTGAGCAATATTTTAAACATTTCTAGAGCACTATATGGGGTTTTAATTGAATAAAAATTTTATAACCTCATGTATCCTCAAGCATGCAAGATAAAATTCATTGGAAAATCATCAATTTATAAAACAAAATATTAGTCTAATGGCATTATACATTATCCTAAATATTTTGACGTCACTACATGAGGGTTTATATAAATAAAAATTTGTACCCTGTTGTACCCTCAGACATGAAAGAGAAATTTCACTGCAAAACCACCAATACATGCAATAAACATATCACTATATGTTGTTTAACATATTTTTATAAAACATTTCTATCAAACAACGTAAAACACTTACTAAAAAGTGGCATGAATACAATATGCTTATTAAAACATAAGAGCAAACATCAATATAAAACAAACATGATATTTACAAATAAGAAGACAAAAAGCTTAATACATTGCTTAAAACCTACTCATTTGAAGACCATTACTAAATCCTATGAAACAAACGTGTAGGTTAAATTAAAATACAATCTTTTGTTTATCATCAGCGAGAGAGTAGTCATTAACGTCTTCTTTCTCAAAAAATAAGGATTAGGGTGTGGTGCGTTATGCAAAATCCGGTCGCTCGAAAACCTAGCAGCGCAATGCTCCCACAAAAAACTCAAATCACGTTTACACGAGAGCGTGGAAAAAACCCTAGGAGAATCAGAGAATGTAGGCGAGAAAAAAATTGAAAAATTCACCACTACAAAATCCTGGATAATAAATGATGAATGTGAGCAGTCACGTCAGGGCGATTTATATGTGGGGCTTGCATGAGACAAGCCTGCACGACCCATCTTCAACTCCGGTCGATCCACAGTTTTTTCTCCTTATTTCGCTTATGAATGTGAGTCTCAAAAGAATCTGTCGCACGTCATTATGCCATTGGAGTTTGGATGCAGAGCTACCTCCAAACTCCAAACACAATATTTTTTTTCTTAAAGTTTCACTCCACTAGCATAAAATCTGTAGCCAACGAAAACCCATACCGCTCCCCTTATTCCCTCAAGCAAGACCTAAATATTCAACCATTCTGTCATCTCCTCTCTCCCTACGCACACCGCCGAACTGTTGCGCACCATTGCACATTTTGCATGCTCTTGTCACTTTTGGTTCTTTGTTTTGCACAATATTGGTCCTGATTTCCCTCCCATTTGTGCACACTATCTCGCACCATCTCTATATGCCTCTGTCCATTATCCCGAGCACCTATAGTCTCGCATGCACCCTAACTCCTTAGCATCGATAGTCGAAGGCCATTCAACCCGACGAATTCCAACCCATAAGTGAACAATTTAACACCCTTCAACTAGCATGACACCAGATACGACTTCCAAAACTCTCCAACTACTCGCTGACTTCTGAAATCCGGCAACTAATCCAAACTCGACACTTCGTCATTGTTCGAGTTTGTCTGCAACCCTTAGCCACTCGTCAACTTCTGCCAACATCACACTACCTCCATGATCACTCAACCCCTTTATCTCTTTACCTATCCATACGAGCACCTTCTTTCCTCAATACCTCCCCTTTCTTTTGCGTTACCTATCTCCCTTCTCTTCCTCACTCAATATTTTTTCTCTAAAAAAAATTAAAAGAAAAACAACTATCTTGTGAAAAAATGAGAAATAAGAAGCAAAAAAGAAAAATATAAAAAAAGAGAAGGAAATAAAAAATATAAATATTGTGTATCCTTCCCTTAACAAATATTCATTGACAACTATCTTGCACGCAAAAAGGCATGCAATGGCAGGAACCTCAATGTGCCACCAAATTATAAGTACTTGTATGCATCATATCGATGAAATTGAAAAAGAATTATCATGTTTGTGACCACATTCATGTTTTTGAAGCATAACGGGTTAAAAACCAATGCATGTCTTTTACACGCGACAGGAAAGCTCTATCATGTGTAATCATGCATGCTTTTTAAACGTTATGGAAAATGTCTATCGCTTCGCATAGAGGTCCCTATACAGTGGAGACAGCAAGAGACAGATGAAATTTGAATTGGATGGACTCACATGGGACAACATGAAATGAACTTTTAAGTAGAATTACACTAAATGAAATGATAAAATGTAAACTACTAACAAAAAAATGAACAGCTAAAACAACATGTGAGAAAGATTAACTAAAACTTAAAAACAATAAAAGGATTTATGTGGGACTAGAAGAGCTCACTTATGGGGAAGAAAAGAACTTCCCTAATTTCACCAAAAAAGTTCACACATGAATGCAAACAAAAATTCTTCTCTTGCAGACTCCTAACTCCATGAAATTCTATGAGTTTAGACTTGAATGTTAAAATGAATCACAATCCCTCCATTTTATACATTTAGAGTTATTTAATGGGTCAATACATAATGGCAAAATTTTTGTATATCAATGATAAGTGTCGTGCAGTGATTTTCAATGGCGAATACTTTAACTCAGCCTCTAATAGCCATTGGCTAATCTACATTTTATTTTCAATCCTTATTTTTTTTATCGAGCAATGCCTCATGCGAATCTTCTGAGATAGTTGCAAATAAGATTAGTAGGCTTCTTGGAGTCAATTCCACAAAGTTTGAGGGGCAATAAATATTATTTTATATTATCAAATATTTCTTAATAAGCATTTTCCCTTATAAAGGAAGGGTGCATCCTTCATCAACCTCGCAAAAGGTTAAAACCAACCTAAGAGGTTAGATAAAAACCTCCTCATGTACGCTAAACCTGCCCGACAAAATTGCCTTCAGAGTTTTTGGTGGTAGTATAAAAAAAATGGATATAATATTATATAGATAAGCTTTGCTGTCCTCGTGGCATCCAATAAAGCTTGGAAATTTTCAGATGAATATTACCAAAAGCATATTTCAAAGATAAAAAATTTAAAACTGTTAAATACAATCCTAATATTCTTTAAATGTTAATGATAAGTATTGGATTTTACAACCAAACCATCAAAAGAGACTACTTGGTTTTGCATGAGGTAGTTGAAGATGTGGATTATAGAGCATTAGTGGGCTGCACCGAAATTTTACAAGCTAATAGATGCCACCTTATAGCAGTTGAAACTGATGCAAGTATATAAGGATGGATGTTTCTCATTCTCTAGCACCATCTTGATTTGGTTATAGCCTGATGATTCAGTCATGAAAGAGAACATACCATGATTTGAGGTATTTTCAACCGTCTTACAAATGGTAGTGATGAGGGGATGCAAGGATGGATATTACTCTTCTCTAGCGCCATCTTGATTTGATTATAGCCTGATGATTCAGTCATGAAAGAGAACATACTATGATTTGAGGTGTTTTCAACTGTCTTACTAATGGTAGTGACGAGAGGATGCAAGTAAGGGGGTATGAGTGGGCTAGGCTATTGTAGCTGTGATACCATGTGGAGGCAAAAATTGAAATGCTTTTCACGGAGTATTTGTGTCTATATGCGGGGCATACAAGGAGTAAAAAAATAAGATTAAAAAAAGGAGAATAATATTATTGTGGGAAGAAAAATAATAATATTTATATTCTAGCACTTTTTATGCGACTTAAAAATCTAATACCAATGAAATATAATTTCTTTGCTCTAAATACTTTTCCATTAATTTCTTTACCCTAAAATTAGTTTCCATAGCATATCTAACAGGCATAAAACGAAAGTAGATTCATCAGTACCAACTTGATTTTCCCAAGCCAATATTCCAGTACGCTTTCTCATAACTTCACAGCATGACTCAATTTGGTTCCCTCAGAAATACTGCATTTGGAAGAGCTCATAAAAATTGAAGTCAACAAATGTAGACTCAAACGGTAGTACAAATTTGTTTTTATTATGCTTATTAAACTTAAGGAACGTATTGAAATGAAGATTTATGTGCAAACAAGATTTTTGGGAAGCAATGCTTGCGGTAAGTACAAATGGCAGCGCTGAACAATTGGAGCTTACTTCTTTTTCTGTTAACTTCTGAAATTGCAAATCATGTATATCGACATTAATTTTTTAATAAAGTCAGTTGCATCGGTCTCATTCTTCATTGCTAACGGAAAATTCAAGTGATTGATAAAATAAGAAAATGCTTTTATCTTCTAAATAGCAACTTTTTTGGAACTTGCCTTACACAATGCAACTATAAAATTCTCGCTCAAAACCAAACAATTAGCTTTTAAAAAGTTGTTTACATGGAATGAGCATGGCACACTTGAACAATTGGCTAATCAAATGGTGTATCGGCTCTTGATAGATAAATCTATAAATTATATTAACATTGAAGGACAATCAAGATCAGTCATGATGGAAATGAAAAAAATACTTCATCCTCTCTTTTTAGTAAAAATGGATTTTCTAAGGAGAGAGAACAAGTAAACTATTTGGCTGAGAAACATGTAATTAGCACATGGCGCTAATACTGATAAATATTAAAGCTTATAAGCAAGCTTTGAAATAAGTCATGAATAATTTCTTACTGTTAATCCTGTACATTCATTCTTCACACAAACTCTTTCATTAAGTGCCTCAGCCACACCTTTCCCGTCATCATGAAGCAATCGCCTATAGAAATAAAAAGGCAAGTAAAATTATTTCTAAGATACAGACGGATTAAAAAAGACCAAAGAAATTACAAGTCATCTTAGGTAGGGTATTGTGACTTTTTTTTTTTGCAAAAACTTCAAATGTTTTGGCTAAGCCAAAACCTATACGAATAAACAATCCATATTTAGGATGCCAAATACTATAAAACCATTTATCAGCAAATTGCCAATGGTCTTGGGAAGTAATACTTTTGTTTTGAAAAAAGGAAGAAACTGAGTGAGTGTATAGAGTTTCTCCCAATGAAAGGTCCGGAAAGAGGTTGATGTTTACAGCCATGCCATGCATTTTGCAGACCTCCACAATTCACTAGATGCAGCACAATCATTAGAAAAATACCTAAAGACCTTCCAAGAAGATTAACTTGTTAGAGCTTCACATTTATAGCCATGAGACCAAAGTTCCAATGTGTCATGCCAACATATGCTGTCAGTAATAAACTCTAAATTCATGAATTTCATGGACAACTGATGCAATGCAGGAGTAATCGTGCAGATTAAAAAAAGGTAATCATAAATTCATTAGATTGAATTTCTAAGCTCCTATCAAATAAATACTATGCAGGACAATGTACCTATGAAGCATCAATTCAACTTGTCCATCCTGAATGCTGGAGCCTCCCACACATCGGTCAACCAAAAGCGATAATTCTGTGTTATCATCTTCTATATATATGCCAAGATTAATCTGAAAAAAAAAGGTTGAACCATGTAAAGCTTCTGCAATAAATTTACACTGACCGCATATTATCTACAAATTATAAGGAGCATAAATATAATTAATTTTCAGCAAATAAAGGTTTACTTTCAGATATAAACTTACAGGATAATAATTTCCAGCTACAGGTTGATTTACATGCAATGCCCAATCCGTTCTGTAATCTCGAATCTGTAAATAGCAAAATACTGGAGATTATCTATCCAAAGCAACACGAGGCATCAAACTTTGAATATGCCATGATCTATTGAAAAAATCCTAGCAGTCTTAATACAGAAATTGGAAATCCTTAATTATACCCTCTTTATAAAATCACGTCCATTGGAATCAGTGTAAAATATCTTGTTGGTCTCCATTGATGTAGAAAACTCAGTTGCTAATTCTTTCCCAGTTTCATCTTCAATGGGTATGGGTCCAACCTAAACAAAAAAAAGTTAACATTCACCAAATTTCAACGCAGACAGCATAGATTGAGACTGCAGAAACAATAAATGCAAGAAATACAATTTGAACAAGATGGATTTAGATCTTCAAGCAAAAAATAAAATAAATAAACATAAACTAAAAATGAAAATCAAATCTTTATATTGATAGGAATGCATATGAACAGATGCCGTACTTTAATAATAGTTCAAGTGCTTACTAGGAATTCAAATTCAACATGTTCCTTTGTCTTGTACACCCTAGTAATCTGCAAAGTTCAAAATAGAATTAATTTGGCTACAGGATGCCTCTAGCATTTCCTGCAATAACAAAGCTAAATATAAAAAACCAATAATTATAGCAAGAAAGAAACATACCCCCTCCTCCCCCAAACACCACAAACAACAACATCAACAGCGAAAGATAAAATAAAATAAAGCTTAGGAGTCCTACATTCAACCATTGCTTTGCCTTGAAAAATGAATTTCGAAGCGATGGATAGTGCTTAGATTCTCCAGCTAAGTTATAACAAAGTGACTAACTCAACTAACATTATAATTGAGCCAATTACATATCAAGATGTCAGACATAACTATTTGACTCATCAATTTTTGAGGTTGCCCGTTGTCAATTGTTCTATTCATGATGATCTTGATAGAAAGAATTGTATTCATGCATTTGCATTTTAAATTAATTATAAATTGGAATTATTTTTATTTTTATTTTTATTTTCATGTGAAGTATCATGTAACAAGCCTTAGAAGCTGTTTAAACTTCCAATTGTCAAATTATTTCAATGAATAACCCCTTATGCTTGGTCGAAACCTAGTTATGATGAATTAAATGAAGCTCTAATTTTCTTCCGTCTATTAAGGAAAAAGCATACACTGCTCGACGATTTACCAAACATGGATACTTTGATTATTTAACATTAATAGCTTAAGGAGTCATTACTTTGAAATTATTTTTCATTTGCTTCACTCAATTTTCCATTAAATGTACAATTATATTGCTTCTACTACATCAATTTAGCATCATAACAAACTCGCACTATTTTAGCATCACACACAGAAAAAAATGACTTAGTTGAAGTAGTGAATCTGAAACTAAAAACTTAATTCAAATTGGAGTAACAGGAGATTCAACAGGATAGTTAAAATGAGTTGTCCACTTAAGCATACACGTTGAATAGCAATCAACAAAGTACATTCTCCATGAGAAGAGCCTTAAGCAATAAAATTCATGGGACAACTTAATAAGAGCATAAGAAAAATCAATACATCCCACCTAACAATCCACAATTCAAACACAGATCAATCAGAAAACTATAAAAATCTCAATACTGGGTTGTTTCAAGAAAACTTCCCTACAAGAGAGAAAAAAACAAAGCCAATCCAAGGATCTACTTTGAAAGGAGGTTGGTAGCTTGTACTGAGCTAAAGGATTCAAGCAAAAGAAGATGACAATTCTTATCTCCCCTAAACGTCAACAAATGAATGGAGAGCACAAAGCAAGAGAGATCCGACAATGTGGCTAACCTGTGAAGCACACAGTGAAAAACACAATTGATGACAAGGCTAGAAAGACAGGAAGCAAGGTGGTACAAAGCGAGAAATAGAGCAGAAATTGATAAGAGGCGAGCCAAACTAAAACAGCAAGGGCACCACCATAAACGCTGGGAACCTGGGATCAGAGGCAGCATCTGCACCAAGATCAAAGATGGCATGCAAGCCTACACCAAGAAAAATAGTAGTAAAATAGAGCTTATGCTTTGATGACAAGTAGATTAGCCTACCCAAGTCCTATTTTATGAACTAAAAGTTCTTATCACATAAATTTTTTTTTCCACTTCCGCAGCTGTATGGTCAAAAGATGAAGGTAAAAACTGTCATCTGTGCAATACTCAGAAAATAACAACTACAATAGAAGAAAGTAACCTGATAGATCCATGGATTAATCTGTTGATGCACTTCATCCAATATGGGTCCATGGAGAATATTAAATGGCACCTTAAAAATAAAAAGATGTTCATGACATATGGTGAATTAGAGATCAGAAGCTAAAAGAATAATATGCATTTAACACGAGGAAACCAAATTAATAACCTGGGCCCCATAGTCACTGCCTATGCACACAAAATCGGTCCAAAGCTGAACCATACCTTATTACCACTATTTAGGCAACAGTAGCTTCTCATATTACTAACCTTACCATGAGAGTCCCATGAGGACTGGAAACCAGTTCTCAGAACAAATCAAACAACTGATAGAAGATGATAACAGCAGCATAGCAGCCAATAATTTACAGAATTAAAGGATACCTTATCATCAGATTTGATGGGGAAAGTACCATCTGGGCGAAAAACATAAGCTCCAGATGCCTTCAATGCGCATCATAAAAGTAAAAATGATTAGCTGGAGATGTAAAAGGAATCCCTCGCATGTTCATTTAATTAATACTACGGAGAAAATTCAGACAACTAAAACATGGAGATTTTATAGCCCTTGCATACCTGTAGATCAGTGTATTCTCCAACAGATCCAGCATAGAACTTATATGACTGCTTTAAAGATGAGTTGACCTAGAAAGCTCCAAAAAAGGTGGATATAAACAATAAAGATACATATGGATTTCAGAAGGCTTCAAATGATTGAAATAAACAGACAACTTTTCCCTACAGAAACTCCTCAGTAGAACATATATAACGGTTCTTTAATGAGCATTGTTATTTCTCAATTAAACATGTCAAAGGAACATCTTGGACTATCATGAGAAACGGGAAAAAGGGTCAATTAATGATTAGAAAATATTGAAAAATTGCAGATTCAAGTCAAACTTGAATAAACAATAAAACATCCCCTGAAACTAATTCCTCAGTGGTACAAATTAAAAGGTTCTTTCATGAGCATAAGGCTTGCATTTATTACTTCAAGACATGAAAAGAGAAATTATGGCACTACTGAAGAAGCAGAAGACAAGATCAAACAATAATATAGCATATCCAGTTAATATTATTAATCCTGAAACTTACAGCTCTCCCGCTGTTAGTATAATAAGAGAGTTCATGTTCATTGGCATTAAACAAAAGCTTCAACTCTCCCGGTCCAATCTCAATGTAACCATCATTGCTTTCTTTTGATGGATGCAAAGACGACATAGTAGCAGCAGAAGCTGAAATCAATTAAGCAAATATCAGTACAGCCTGGAAACAATTAATAGTATTTTGACTAGAGGAAAATCATTCGGTTGCAAGAGTTAAAAAAAAAATTAAGGATGTATAAACCTTGGCTTCTAGCATTGGAGACAATATATGTGCTGAAACCAAATGGTGGTACAGACACTGGGAATGCAAGCCAAAATTTGGGAGCAACATCAAGGAATTCACCAAGATAGGCCTTGACATATTGACTTCGTATGCGCACAGAAGCTTCGTTGATAGGTAAAAGTTGAGATTCAATTTCTCTGCCGTTGGCAGAATCCAAGACAGTGACAGAATCACTTGAAACCTGCAGTGACTCGACAACTGAAAAAATAATTACTCCAAAACAAAATAGAATAGGATGGCTAAGTATCTTCAAGAAGATACCACTGCACTAGACACCTCCAATAGTGTAAAATGGCAAGAAAAAAATTTATTTGCATATGTGCTGCTATATGTGTCCTATCATGATAATTTGAAGTTAAAGAAGATTAAACTTTCTTCAGAGGCCTGGCTTCGTTATTTTATATTGTACAAAAATGAAGAAAATAACCAGCTCTGTGAATTTCTACTTTCCAAAATCCAATGCTAAACAGCCCACCTCTCTCTTTATATTAAAGAAAAAAGAAAGTGCAAGTTTCAAGAATTTAAAGCATACACAGCCTTAGAAAGCTTTACTCGCTAAAATGTAGATGATGAAAAAAATAATCAATGAAATTTATGATGTAAATTTCCAACAAAATCCAGAATCATAAAGCCCTGTCTACTTAGATAGGCTCTAAATACCAGCCAACGATCATTAAAAACCAAATTAAGCATATTATGAGTTATTTGATGAAGGCCTATTAGGCAATCCACTCATGTGGGTTGTTATTCACATCATAGTCACCCTCACCCTGCTAGATCCCTAAGGTAAATCTTGATAATAGCTATTATAACAATGAATCGGGACTAGTTGTTTATATCTACACTTCTAACCTTAAAGTCAAGAGTTCAAGCCCCTACCACGCTTAGCTGTTTTTTTTTTAATCTAAGAGTGTTGTTCATTGGCTCTTGTACCAAAGGATTTGCCCCCTTCGGTGTATCTCTCCGTAATGGGCATTGTGCCTCCTTTAATATATACTATATGGAGATAGCCCCAACCACCTAAACCAAACCGAACCACACACGTGAAGATCCCAAATCAATCCATCTCCCTTGTGCATGAGTGTCTCTAGTTGCATTCAACGCCAAAATCCCACACCTCTCATCTCCTTTTGGCCTCAATTTAAAATTGCACAAGGCTAGGGTATAACATCCATTTCTCCCTACCATAATGCAAATATATTTTTAAATCTATGAGTATTGTCCATTGGCTCTTGTACAAAAGAGTTTGTCCCCTTCTATGTATCTCTCCTTAAAGGGCATTGTGTCTCATTTAATATATAATATATGGAGATAGCCCCAACCCCTCAAGCAAACCAAACACACAACTCCGCCCATTGTTTCACATGAAGATTCCAAGTCGATCCATCTCCTTTGCACGTTAGTATCTCCAGTTGCATTCAATGCCAAAATTCAATACCTCTCATCTCCTTTTGGCCTCAATTTAAAATGCACAAGGCTAGGGTATCACATCCATTTCTCCCTACCATAGTGGCCAATACCCTCTTGTCTCTCTTCCTCATTGGCCCTATCTCGCTCAACCGATGAAAGAGAAGCCTCTCCATCATCTTATTCTTTTTTGATTGAGACCTGTCAACAACTGTGAGTCTTTTCTTCTTCGTCTCTTTCTCTACGATCCTTCACTTCTTGTCTCATTCTCTTTATTTTTCATTATTGCTCTAACAAATTCTTTTCATCCTTTCCACTCAAGTTGTTGAGTAGAGATTCAATTTTTTTCTTAATCAGTAATAGATTCTCATTTTACTATTTATCATATGATACAAGATTTGTTTATATATCCTACTTTAGTGGCACATTCTTTTATGTTCTAAGAAAAATTAGCTATGATAAAAAAAATTGATGTAATTTATAATGCAATTTCATTAAAATGATCATTATAAAAGATAGATTTTAAAGTTCCCTATTAATAAAGATTGCATAATGACTTCCGATACCTTTATTAAAGGCTTAACATAATTGAATTTTAGGTAATTTTTTTTCGATAAAAATAATTAATACAACTAGATTGCAAGATAATCTAGGTCCATTAAGTTGCGCTATTTAGATAACTAATTAATTTTTAATACATTTATGTGTATGCTTATAATTAATCAATATTTTATATTATTTAGGAATTAGGACCTTCGAATTAATACATGTCTACTGCTAGTCTCTTTAGTTTTTAAGAAAGTATGGCTTCGAGTGTTATCGCTCCAGATATTAACTATTATTTATTAAAAGATAAATATATGTTTCTTTGTTAAGGGGACTATCCTTAATATGCATACTAGATTCTTAGATATTTTACAGTTTGTCAGTTCTATCTTTGTTATTCAATTATTTGTTATGCAGTAAATCACTTTTACTATTCATAATTAAATCATAAGTTGCAAATGTAGTTTTGTTATGACTTATTGTTGCATAACTTCTTGTAATGGAAAGATAATTTTTTTATGCATGCTACCTTTGTTAAATGTATTTAAATTTAATTTTGAAACTCATGCTTTAACATGTAATTAGCAATGATTGTTTATAAAATTCCTATTGGAAAGTTTCTTATAATAATTAAAAAACTATTAAATATGTGCAGTGATGCACAAGTTAGAAGAAGCCTCTTAGATATTAGCTAAATGGGTTGATGAGTTCACAGAGTCTTGAATTTTCACAAGTTAGTGTTTACCTTCTCAATTTCATAGTGTCTTGATAAAAAAATCACTAAAAATATATGAATAGATTTATGATGGACGAATAAATCACTAATGAGTCATATTTAAAAATATATGATTAAATTTAATATACTTTTATATGGATACATTAAAATAGATTTGCATTGATTATAATTTATGATATAAATGATCATGAATATTACAATACTAAAATAATCTTACAGCCCGAATTATTTGTCATTAATTTAGCACAATAATTTGATGACACTTAATACCTTGAGGTATATAATAAATCAACCATTTTACTATTCATAGTGGATACCCAATATCTGAAGTTTACACCTTAAAAGTGGGTGTTACTTGCAAAATTTGAGCTATCAAGCTCATTAATAATAATCTTTTCATAAAAAAACTCAAATATGATGCTTGATAAACCATCAACATGAAAACAAACTTTTCAACGGCAGTCATTTATTCAATATTTCTATGTTTATGTTGTAGTTGTAGTATATATATTTATGTTGGATTTGAGTAGTTTATCTTTTCATAGTTATTGCTCTCACATTCTTTTTCATTAGTTACTAATGCTTCTTCGTTGCATCAATGTATCAACTATTGATATGTCATTGACAAATTTTCATCATCCGACTTGAATCTCTGAGCAGTTTTTTAGCACACATTCAAACTTTAATTAAAAATCATCTACAACTCTGCTTTCAACAAGCTTACAATCAAAATGACAAGCTCAACGAAACGAGCCCAATGACGCCAAAATTGATTCAATACAAGTCAAATCAACCCTAGATTAAATGATAAAATTATTTTTGTAAGCTTTCAGTGTATAATTTTAAGGTTAGATGGATTCCAAATCTAATAAACTTATAGTTGAATTAAGCGTCTCGACAAGACGAATTTAACGAGTCAAAATCACTCTATTTTGATATATTAAGGCGCTCAAATATTCACAGAACACCATCCGATTAAGAGAACCTCTCAAAATTATCTAATGAAGTAGTTTAATTTCTTTCCTTAATTGCAAAAAAAGGCCTCTCCCAGACTCTATAAATTAAGTCCGACTCTCCTCTTGAGATGGGAGCTAGACACTGAGCCAGAAGAACACAAAAGCTAGGAGGAGCGAAACCCCCATGTTCCACCGAAGCTCCAGTGAACTTCACCCGCTTCTGCAGCTACTAACCACCGTCGAACACTTCTTGTCGACCGCCACCTGCTCCTTGCGAAAAAATTTCCTATGAGATTATAACGTGCGCCTCAGAACCCCGACATACGTTGAGAAATAACAAAGCACTAGCAATGCAACAACGCACCTCAAAGACAGTGCCTGAATGCATGCTAAAGGCAGTGTAATGATGTCACACTAACGATGGTACAACAACACACCCCAAAGACAATGCAATAATGCATTCCGAAGATGGTTTAATGACAGAACCTTAAAAAATGTGCAATCACGCAACCCAAACATAGTGTAACAAAGCACCCGAACACAGTGTAATGATGATGCCACCCCGAAGACGGAAGATGGTGCAACAACGCACTTGAAGACCATGAAGCAATGCACTCCGAAGACATTATAAGAACCACCCCGAAGACGGTGTAAAGACGCCACACCGAAGATGGTGCGGCAAAGCACCCAGAAGACGATGCAAAAACACACCCACAATACGGTGTAACGATGCCATCCTAAAGACGACGTAGCTACATATCTCAAAGATGGGTGTAATAACGCACTATGAACACAGTGTAACTCTTCACCACTATAGTCTACATTACCAACTATGATCAACATAGTCCACAGATCATGCAACCCCCAACTCTGACCCTGTAGCTTACAGAAGTTATATTACGGCTCACCACTATGGCCTACGTGGTTCACAGTTTATGCATCAACGAACTCTAGCCTCTGCGGCCTACAAAAACTCACCACTACCACCTGTGGTTGGCTACGAACTATATGACATTAATAGCTGATTATTACAAATGATCATTTTTTGCAATTTCACCCCTCTACCCTATGTTGAAGTAAGCACTCCTGGACATGGAGTTGAGGGATCTATGCTTAGAGCATTCAAATAATAGGCCATGCAGAGAGGAAAACCCTTGAAAAACCCTTGAAGGAATGTCCAAATAAGCTTCCACCTTGCTTGAAGATGTTTAGAAGAACTTACACAATTATTTTGTTAGCCAAAATATTGGCTCTCCTTTCATAAGTCTCAATAATAACTTTTATTCCGCTCTTAGCCATAATAATTGATTCTTGGATTAGTAAAATTATGGTTTTATTTCATTGTCTTTTCCATCTTCTTGACCTAATTCTTAGCTCGATGAGGTCTCAATTATTTGATGCTATATACTATGAGCCAGGCCAGACTTCAATATATATTCACATTACATCCAATCATCTCCAATTGGTTCTTCTTTGATTTCTAATCAATAACTCTTAAGTGCAAAGTCCCTCCTCCTTATAACCCAATTGTTTTATGCATGCATTATACTAACTATGCTAATAAGAACATATATAATATCTTCGGGTCGTTACAACATACTATAACAATAACAGTAAAAACATTTGATCGATAAGAAAAAAAATATTACTATAAAAAAAGAATATGAGTACTCATTTTGATTATAGACGATTTGTTTGCTCTTAGCTTGTATCACTTCTATCTAATTATCACCTATAAAATATAAAATATTTAATTATCAATTTACTTAATTATATTTTCATTTAATTATCAATCATTGTGGTGTTGTACTATTTTAATTAAATTTTAAATATTTAAACTTTAATTATGGTAATCAATATTAATATGAAATATTATTAATTTATATAAAATACTTTTAGAATTAAATCATAACTTTTCTTTAGTGCCTGCATCAATCGCAGTTTAACATTAAAATAATAAACTTATCTTTAATTACAGTAAAAAACTCATCTCAGACACGAGTCCTCCCTTTCTTCTTCGGCCCAATCGCCTCAGCATGCAAGAGATCGGGATCAAAAGTCTGGCTTCAGCTTTCTCTCATACACGAACGAGCGAACTCAAACCTTCCTCCTCTGTGATGCTTCTTCCTCTCCTCTTCTTCATTGGCAGGCTAGGGCACGGGCTCACCTACACTGCACCTTCCTCCTTCGCTGCTTGACAAAGACATCGTTGTCCGTTGCCTTTCAATATGAGGAAGCCCTAAATTGCACCATTCGACCCTCCAGTAAATAACTCTCATCTCTGTTGTCCCTTATATGCAAGATTTATATATGAATCTATCCATTTGACTTCCTGACCCTCTCACTTCACCTCCAACCTCTTTGGCTTCCTTCGGTATTCTTGACACCTTACTTCCACTTCTTTGGCTTCCTCATTTCCTCTTCCAACTGATTGCTTATTTTTTCCCAGAGTAACTGAAACAGGACTATAAATCTTCAAAGCCCAACATCTCTCACATAACCTCCAAGGTATAAGTTGCCTCACACCTATTATAACATTTAATAGTGTACATTTCTTAACCTTACCTATGATGTAAATCACGTAGTGCTCCACCATGTTACATGTCGAGATACGCCTTATAGCATTTTTATACGAAAAAATCAACAAAATAATGGGAAGAGTTGTCTATTTGCAAACTTGACTAATCTCCCTCTTGAATCTTAACGGTGTTAGTAGCATCACACCTCACTATGACATTTATCAGGAGTGTCCAAACATTTTTCACAAAGTAAATCATATTATGCCCTACCATAATATCTACCGAGGGACACTATAGCATTCTTGACATGAAAAAATCAACATAGAAAAGAGGGAAGTTTATGCTTGTTTCCAAACAATTAATATTGCTTGCTTAACCTTAATAATGAAAGTCACATCACAACCCACAATGACATGTCAGGATGCATTTTGTAGCACATCCTATGGCGAAGTAGCATTGTGCTCAACTATGCCATTTGTAGGAGCAAAACTCTTAGTTTTCTTGACATGAAATAGAGAAAAAAAAATCAAAGTTAGGCGAAATTGATATCTAATTGTAGTCTTAATTTCCTAATGAACTTGGGTGCTTCAAATCAATTATTAAAATTTTGCAAATCAATTTGATGTGAATTGTGTTTACCTTAATATAAATCCTAAGAGAAAACTCTTGGTAAAAAAAAAAAATCAAATAAAGGAAGTTGAAGTATGCAAGAACATTAATATCCATGTTGATGCCCCTAACCATACTTGCACATTGAATAGCACACTAACACATCAATAAGCATATGGCGCGCTAAAACTTCCCATGATATGTTTGAATGGTTAGGAAATATTATCAAGCACATGAACGTCTATCAAGGATGCATGCATTTAATTATCAAATGAATCGGTAAGTGTACCAATAGAAAAAAGAAGAATGCCTTGAACTCCAAAACATTGTCAAATTTGTAAAAGGGATTCTAATAGACTCATAGGAAAAGGGTATTAAGATCAGTAAAATAATATTTTAAATCCTATTTACTATAATACCCTGAGGGTCCTAGGTCAAATACGTTCAATGTCGACGTGATTTGTTAACGAAATAAGCTAAAGACCTTGTTTGACCTAGTCATCTCCTAGTTAACCCAAAAGTTCCAATGAGGCAGCACCTAAGCATGCATACTAAAATATTCATTATATCAAAAAATTAAATCGTTGGGCCTATTTTGCAAATTAAGATTATAAGCTCTGATCCTTCGAGCGACAAACAAATATAGTCAGGCCTCAAGTTTAAATCAAGTTCATTCCAAATATTAGGCACAAGTGATGAATCTAAATGCAAAACTAGGCCACCTTACACATAATACAAAATCATAATACCAATTATTGGGCCTTCCTTTCCTTATAGTATCCAATGGATATAAGCTCCAACCCAACGTAAACTCAAGCTAGCACTTAAAACCATTGAATTCACCCAACGCCTGAGAATCAATTCTCCCAAGGCCAATAGACTGTCATCTTAGACCAACAACTTACAATCCAACAAATTGCCAAATAAACCACAATGGAGACCACCAACATTCCCTAAGCTATAAAACAAACATTGTTCATGTCCAACTTGAAGGCAAAATTTTGGAGCATAGAGCTTAGTAGTTCTTTGGTTAGGCCATCGGACAACTATTTGTATGTTTGGACATATGAGATACATATCAATTAATCTACTAGTTTTTCTTTGATGAAATGATTAATTTCTTTCTTTAGTTCAGTCATGTTGGTTTGGGTTGAGTGAGATGCTGATGGTGATCTATTATCATAGTATAACTTCATTATATCATCCCATTTTATTCTGAAGTCATCCAAGATGACCTTAAATCCACAACAATTAATAAATTCATTGGCCTATTGCATGAAATTCAGCTTTTGAACTTGATCTAACAAGTACAAACAACTTATTGCCAAGTGATTTGATTTCCACCCAGTATAGTAAATAGTAGAAGATTTAATATTTGCAAGCCCAATCCGCACATGCATGCTTAGAGATCAAGTCATTTATTGTTCTTAAAAAAGATTCCTTTTTCCAGAGTCCTTTTGAGGTATTTAAAAGTTTTATATATGCTTGTAGATGCATCAATTTAGGGTTGGATATGAGTAACTTAGAGCATATACAACAAAAGTAAAATCAAAACTTGTGTGGGCAAGATAAACAAGACTCTCCATTGATATATCCCTCCAACTTCTGGGTTATCGCATGCCCTCGCTATAGCGCCATGTTGGCGGTGATTGACGGTAGCAAAATAGTAGGTGGAACTATTTAAAATAGATGAATTTGGCCCTAGGCCGACTCGGAGGGGGTACTAATTAATAATTTACAAAATACTAATTTAAAACTAGGAAAATGCTGGGAAAATTGTGGTAATTCCCTAGTACTAAAGTACATGAAAGAATTAGTAAACAAGTCAAAGTTTGCTGCTCTAGCTTGTCTAAAAGAATGGAGCATGCTTAGAAAAACAGAGTTCAGATTTGGGAATTAAGGGTTACTTACAGGTATTCGGATCACATCATCCCTTTTCCAACCAAGTGAGTTGTACAGAAGAACAACCTTCAGTTTAGAAATTATGAATAGCTCAATGACAATTGATATTACCACAATATCTAAAATAGAAAATAAATTAGATTACCAGGTCTTTTCCATTTGAGAAGTCTGCTTCTGATGGCGGGCAGTAGCTTATATTCAAGAGCGGACACTAGAAAACAAATCAAATTTCGACAATTAATATAATTAATTGGAAGCAAACCAATTTCCCCAGATTTGTAGCAGCGTGAAAAGAAGAAATAAAAAGGGTATGGACTACTGCATAACTTAAATTCTGAGAATAAATTGTCTATGTTAATTAATTTACCAATGATATAGTAACTGGTAAGAAAAATATTTGTAATTCATGTAGTTTTTGTGCAAATTGTATTTTCATTAGTTGCAATATATAAGAAACATAAAATAAAAAAAATGAATTTGTAGAAAAATCAACTTGGTTTATGCAGGACTCCAACCCAATGATGAATTTTGCTAATTGAAAATGGTGCCTCATTTCAGTTTATTTGAATAGAATTTTCTTACACGTCAGCTCCAAAAATTCATATCTTGGCCACTCTATGAGAGAGTATTTTTGTTATTTTCAGATCAAATGTTGTAGATAAAACATCATGTAGAATTTCACTCTCATTTTGTAAGGACTTTAAGAACTAGTTCGAGATTTCTCATAAGCTAAAGCCTCTATATTTAATTCTCCCAATAATGAGAGATAACGTTTGATTAATGCTAATAGTTAGGCGTTAAATGGTTAGTGTACAATAACAACAATTGGAATTTTAGGTTACATAAATTCATCCGATCAACCAGAAAATAACATAGGATTGCAAATGAACTCAATCAAGATTTAATGATTGTGTTCAGTTGTCATTGTCCATGATTTAATTACTCAGAGAAAATAATCATTTGAAATTATCCGAACAATCCTTATCGATAGGCATACGTCCTGTCATTAAAGAAAATATTATAGATGAGTGTTGAAAAGAGCAAAAGCCCAAAATAGTCCCCACTACTATTAAGAAGTGCCCAATTCCGCCCATGAGTTCTAAAAATGCTCCAATTTCATCCTGGACTATTAAAAGCTGTTCAAAATTGATTTTAAATCAAATTTTCCATTAAATTTAACAGTACCCTTACAAATTGAAGGGTAAATCCATCTATTTACAATTTGTGAAGGGATTAGCTGAAATATTAAAGCTGCCATTCAAGATCCCAAATTAACTTAATTAATATATCCTTGACTGTAGATTTGTAATTAATGAGTATGAAAATTTTATGACTTGCAGTAAGGAATTCTTCCTACTTTTGAAGCTGCTAATGCATTTGGTCAAAGTTTGCGGTATTGAAGTAGCAAGTCAAACACCGTAAGCTACTCCGAAAAATTAGAAGGGCTAAGTTTTGGCCAATTTTTTGCCTGTAAGCAAATTGAGAAAACAACAGAGAAAGAAGATATCATATGTTTCTTCTTCGACGAATTATTCCTCTCCCAAACTTACAGTGTTGTCAGTAACTTACTCCTCATGGCTTCTCCAAATTGATTCGACGCAGGTCGAAGCCACCTTGCAATGAACAATGGCCGAAGAAGAAAATCGCTCCTCGCTTGCGACCCCTAAAGTTTCTCTCTTTCTCATCTAGGTTGAAGTCGCAATCGTAGCTTGTCTAGCTTTTGAACCCCGACTCTCTTAAACAACAACCCAGTCTGCTCTTCTTTGAAGAGAGTATGAACAAACCAATTTAGCCTTCTATTCGTGAAGGGCACCGTTAAATATAATGAATAATTTGATTTAAGACTAATTTAGAAAAACTTTTATAAGCCCAGCACTAATTTGGAGCATTTTAAAACTTGGGAACAAAATTGGGCACTCCTTAATAATCAAGAGACTATTTTTGAACTTTTACCCGTGAATAGAACTTATCTAAGGAGACAAATCAAAGTTGATCATAACTAATAGAGAGCTAAGATTCACATATTAAGGGCCAAATTTATTAAAAAATATACAAATTACAATCTTGACCTAATATAAATATGTCATTGTGTGGCGAAATAATGTGATCATAAGGCTATGGTCATAACAATTATTTTTAGAGTTATTTTTAAATAACACACGCAGGAAGAGGACACAGATTGCATCCTTATTAGCATAATTTCCTTTTGGAGTGAATAAAGATAACACTTGATATGACATTGACTCTTAATAAGCGTAATTAATCATAATTTGTCAGCTTCGATAAATCATTTTAGGAGGAGGGTGGAGTTTTTAGACTTTTTAATTTTTCTTGAATATTTATAGACTTGTTTACAAATTTACTTGAATAATAATAATAATTCTACTTGAATATTAATAATTCTACTTGATTAATAATAATTCTACTTAAATATTTTTAGACTTCTTAATTTTTTTCAGACATTTTGCAATTTTATAATAATTTGAGCTCAAATAATTTACATTAAAATTTAAAGTATATTGGAAAATAGAGACCCTTTTGGTTGAGATATTTTCTCAACATAGCCATTATTGGGATTTTTTTTGAAGTATTTGCATTTTGAGAGCTGATTTTTATAAAATGAACCCTTCCAGTTGACATCTACATACAACACGACCATCATTAGAGATTTTTTAAGTATTTGCAATTGAAACTTATCTTTTAGAATGGATCCATCCAATGAGAAATTCTTTCAATATGGTCATATGAATGTATTGACTAAATTAAAATCCTATCGAATAAGCAATGCAGGCTGATTCAAAAGTGTGAATAATACCCTATAAAAAAATAAAATGGCCTATTTACGAAACCTGAGAGGCAGGTGTCGTTGCCACGAGTTTCTGTCGCTCATGGAAGGATTAAACGAGAGATTATTTTCACGTTCCTTGACTCATCACAAGCAGACAAGCAAAAGTGTGAGAGACAAACGAAAGAA